TTCAGCGAAGCGAACGGGGCCGTAGTGATGTAGTACAAAGTGATTCCATGTTTTTGCTTGCTCCACCACCTACACACAATATATAGATCTGGCCACCACACTAAATAATATAAAATATGAAAACACAAGGTCACAAGCACACGGGGACACAAGATTTATCCGAGGTTCGGCCACATCACAAACTTGTGCCTACGTCCCCATTGTTCAGGCGACCACAAAGGCCTTTAGAGTCTCTTTCAACACCCCTCTTTCCCTAGCAACCACAAAGATCAAGCCGGGAATATCACTAGAACAAATAGGTAATACAAACTTCCCGGAGCAAATCACAAGCAAGAGATGAGGGTATCACTAGGCAACACCTAGCCTGTTAGCGCTCCAAGAAACCACGAGTAACAGAACCAAAAAAAAAACAAATCACCGGCGGGTGCCACAAGTGCTCAAGAGATGGATCTTACTCCCAGAGTCGCAAGCACGAAGAACTCACTCCAATCTCACTCTCAAAGATGGGGATCTAAACTTTTGTGAGAGAAGAATGTGGGAGAGGGAGAAAGTTGAAGACCTTTGTCTCAAAGTTGTTGGGAGCTTCAAAAGTGGCCAGAGAGAGAGAGATAGAGGAAGGAGGAAGAGTGAAAATATATTCACTCCCTACCTTCAGCTGACCGTTGGCGCAGCACCCAGATCCACCCCGGATATTCTGGGCCTCGGAATATCCCCCCTAAAGCTTAGACAGTGCGCTTCTTTCTCAGATCTAGGTTAGCCTGAATATTCTAGGTGGGGCCTGGCATATCAGGTAAATGCTCTACCAGCAACCTGCGAAGGGTTGGCCGCAAATTGCCAGCCCCTTAGCCTTGAAATTTCTAGGGTCTTGAAATTCCGATCCAGAGCTGGAATATTCGGGCATATAGTGAAAAACAGCTCTTGGTAAAGTTAGCGAGAGGTGGCTATTTTAGGGTGTCTAAGGTTTATGTTAGTGATCCATCGAGGACTTAGGACACATGCAAGTAATGACACTTTGATCCCTCTTAGTGGTACGACATCCTATACTCAAGTGAAGTTCAAATAAATTTGAAATAAAACCGAACTTTCACTTTGAAACGTATTGCCACATCTTTCTTTGGAGTAAGAAATGAGGGGTCTCATGTTTTCTTTTACACTTTTCACATTAGTATATAATTGAAATGCTCATGAAACATCGTTAGCTCTTTATATGCAACGTCACCTATTCACCAAAACCCACTAATAGGATTGATGCACTTACATATACCTATTATGTATCCTATATCTATAATATACTTGGCCAACCGGGCTGCCCGGCACGGCACTGGCACGACACGATGCGGCATGACAGCTCAGCCGTGCCGTGCCTGATAGTGCCGCCGTGCCGAGACCTCGACCCAGCCACGGCCCTATCGTCGGTTAGCCGTGCCGTGTCGTCGAGCACGGCAGCCTGGCGTGCCCGCGCTAGCCTGAGCACAGCAGCTCCACACGGGGAGCGACCTCGCGGTCACCGTTGTCACGTCGTCGTTGTCGTTCCCATGGCCCCACGTCGTCGTATGAGAGGAGGACGCCGTCACTGGTAGTGATGACAATGGGAGAGAGCCGAGCGAGCGAGAAAGAGGAAGGGGAGCGAGCGAGGGGGAAGTGGTGGTGGCCTGCCTTGGTGACTAGCCTCCGGTGCGGCAAGAGAGAGGTGGATGGCCTGCCGGGGAAGCGTGAAAGAGTGAGGAGCAGGCGAGTGGCTTGCGAGCAAGCGAGACTATGAGAGAGAGCGGCGTGGGTTCTGCCTCCTGGAAGCGAGCGATAGCGGCGCAGGGGAGGGATCGGGAGAAGTGTCTTTAGTCTAGGGTTTTCCAATCGAGTACATCCAATCCAACGGCTGAAGAAGAATATCAAACATCCAACAGTTTATACGGATCGGGCCACTATAGTGACAGCCCATTAACCGTGCCGTGCCCGGGCCGGCACAGCGGGCTGAAGTTGTGGCCCAGGCACGGAACTACCACCGGGCCGTGCCAGGCACGGGCACGATGGGCCTCGTGCCGGGTCATGCTCGAGCCGTGCTTCTTAGTGCCGTGCTAGTGCCGACGCAGCGGGTCTAACCCATTTGGCCAAGTATAATCTATAATTCTATACCTAATATTAAAGGGTGAAGGGGTTTTCCCATCTCTTTTTCGTACCTCTAGACTGTCCCCACACCTCCATATTTCGCATGTAACATGGATTTATGACCCTTCATCATATGAGTTAGAACGGCTCGAGTCTAACAATAATATGATGTCTTGGATTCCAAGATGTATTGAGTTCCGTGCATATAAATAATAAGTCTAGCATTATTAAAAAAAATCTAAAGTATCGATTCACATCTATATCTAAACTACCACATTTGTTATTACGAGAGAGTTTAAATAACCATAATTTGCATATAGTTTTTAAATTACTCACTTCTATTAATATTAATATACAAAAACTAGGTAAAGTGAATATGCATATTGGCCCATCAAGCAGATCAAGTAATTTTTGTTACATGTAATTATTAAGTATGAACATCTAATGCTTATGCCTCCTAAAAATTCTAGCCCATGTGGAAGCAAGGCTGATGGACTATTAGTCATTTAAATAGTGGTTTACAGTTCAGTTGTAGAGTGGTGAAGTGGTTTAGAGTTATGATGAGGTGGTGTGAGTTGAGGTCACGATCCAACCACCAACTGTCTATAATTAATGGAGTTGCTTTGTCTTGCTAGCTTGTTGTTTTTTTGTTACTGGCCTGTTCGTTTCTTTTATTAGCCGTACTATTTCAGCAAAGGAACAATGTTTTTCTCTCACAATAAATCAGCGAACAGTACTTTCAGTCATGACTTTTCAGCGAAACGAACAGGGTCACTGACCCTTTTAGGGTCTTTGTTATTTTATTGTTTCGTCTGGTCTGAGCTTCTTCTTTTTTAATGTAATCGCTGCTTGATTTGTTTTGTGAAGCTCCCATTGCCCATCATAAACTACATTTGATAAGAAGACGAGTGGTTAATTGGTGCGTTGGGTTGACATGCATATGCATGGCCCTTTATCCCAACGAAATTAGTGAACAAGAGCAGCGGTGGAATTAAGCAAGAAATGAGCAACCGAATTTTCTGAACATTAGTACGGATGTTAACGGGAAGTAGAGTAACCTTGTTGGGTTCCTGTTTGTTGTCTTGGTGGCGACGATGCATGTGAAACGTGGGAATTGCATGTGACGATCGGGAGTGTACAACAGTACGCCAGGTGTGGTACTCTAACCCTGTAGTGCAGCCAGTCACTGAGTGCAGCAGTGCGAACGACCATCTCGTGTTGACCACCCAAGCCCGTCTTCCAAGTTCCTACTGAAGCAGCTCTGGAAAGCTCCAAAAATCATTGTGAACCCTGATTAGTGTTGGAATATATGCATGGCCTTGGCCTCATAAAGATTTTTTTTTAATTACTCCAAATAAATCTCAAAGGGTTATTTGTATGTGCATACAAGGGTAGTTTGGGAAACATTAATTCCACTTTGTTTTTTTTTTCTGAAACATTAATTCCACTTTGTTAGTTGAAGTGGAGGTACAGTTGTCATACTTACTTAAGGAAGTCATATCCACTTCTCCAAATCTAGCGTAGAGAGAGATGGAAAGCCTACACGCGTATTTTCTCACTGGGCCGGTGCGGGGCGCCTGCTCGTGGATGGTCCGCTGAAATTCGATCCGTGGCATTGCGGGAGAGCTTTCAGTTTTCGATTACTTTGGCCTTTAAGTTTGAAAACCTCGATAAACAACCAACCAGCCATCGCTGGAAACAGTTCTATTCGAGTTAGGGTCTTACATCTTTTCCCCTACCATGTTGTCGTCGTAGTCTCTCCATCTTGAGCAGGTACACAAGCTACACAAGCGATCGGAAGAGCATGTCTCCGCAACCACTCGTCATTGTGTGATCCTGCACCGGAGAGGTCGAATAAGATTTTTGGGAAATGCCTTCGTGCGACTGGCCCCAACCTCCATGACGACTTGTCTCTTCCATCCAATTTTGTAAGTGCCGCGTACCGTCATCTCTACTGCGGCTGTTTCGACCCGTCTTTGCCAACTTCGTCAACAGTATCGTCGCTCCTCCACCGTCAGCGACGGCTCTTCCACCACAAGCCACGGCGTCTGGACCAGCAAACGAGAAGTACCTACGCGGTGATCCGATCTGTTATTTCAATATGTGCCTATTGCAAGTGTTCAAGTTGATGTGGCTAGCTCATCTCGTACGTTAGAGATTTACATGCTAGCATCTGCGTTTGTTATGATTTATGTTCTAGAATCAACCATAAAATTGTCTAATTATTCAACAATTAGCTGGCTCAAATGAATTTGCAGCAAGGAGCAGAGGTACGCAGCGACGTGCTATCACCAGTATCTGACCATTTGCGCTAGCTCTTGGCCACCAACCCTCACTCAGGAAGCTACCAGGACAGTCGAGACAGAGCACCGAATCTTGATGCAATGCAAAGCTAGCATCCCCGGTCTGTGCCGAATAATTATACAAGTGTATTTTCACGGCTTTATTAGAATCGTTGATGCAGAAAATGTATGTTACCAGCATTTTTTTTTTGTAAGTATGTTACCAGCAACTTAGAGGCGCTGTAGCACACATGCTTCATGCTTGGTAGCCAACTTGGAGAAAAGTCTCCAAGCACATGGCTTCCCGGCTGCTGACACACCAGGACTATGGTTGTGGACCGTAACACGGTTTCCACTGCGGCACTGCCGCAGCGCGTTAGGGTCGCAGTTAACGCAAAGCCAAGTCGTAAACAAAAAATGCCACTGGGGCTTTACACACCAGTGCAGCAGTGTTATATCTATCTATCTATATATAGCTCCACGCAGGGCAAGCAATTGCTGAGCTCTCCGGTGCCTCTTGCCACGCACATCAGTCACCGTAGGCGGAATTTCAACTTCAAAGCCGATCGGGGGAATCAGCAATGAAGGTGAGCGACGAATCATCGTCACAACATGTTCCTGCATGCCATTGCCGTCGTCTTCCCTCCTCACAATACTGACTTGAGCCAAGCGAACAGGGCCGAAGTCCGACCGGTGCCGGTCCAAGGCGATGGCGGTGGTGGCGGCCACGGGCGGGGTCGACTCCGTGGCGCTCGACTCGTGGGCGAGGGCATCGACCCCGTGAAGCTCACCTGTGCGCTGCGCAAGAAGGTGGGGGCCGCGGACCTGCTGCAGGTCGGCGAGGCCAACCCGCCGGCCGCCGTGCCCTCAGTCCCGCCGCCGCAGCCGGTCACCAATATCGTCCACTACCACCCTGCCGGCTACTCGTGGCAGTGGCACGGCAACTAGGCACAGCATGGCAGAGCGAGACACCACCTGCTCCACAACGCAGAGAGAGACAAGTAGACAACAGACCATTCATGCATGCGTACCTACGGATAGCAGCGGAGTAGATATTTTTAGTTTAGCGGTTATATGAACTAGCTCTAGTCAACGATCTATCTAATATTGGTTACATTGTTTGTCGAAAAAAAATATTGGTTACATTTAATTTTGTTAGGCTCAACTTTGTTTTCAACTAAATGAAATAAATTTAAAGTCCTATAATGTAATATTGGGTATAGAAAAGCATTACTCTGCACTGTATAACTTCTGGATTTCCGTGTACGGGATTAAACTGGACAGCATATTTGCAATGGTGTAGATACGAAGTCCTAGGAATTTTTACCTAGAAAAAAGTTCACATGTTCAATACAGATTCGAAAAAAAAAATCTCGCATTTTAAACAAATAAACAATCATTCGAACTTGAGAACAATCGGAGCAAAGCTTCAAGACAAACACACCTCTTTTGAGTACCAAGTGGAGCCCAGCTTAGACCCTCGGTAGAGCTTTGAGCGGCTTTGACTCTAGCCACTCCATGCAACGTAGCAAAGAGTGATTCTTCTCTCTCTCTCTTAATTAAAACTAAATTAGAAACTCATGAAGCCACTATTTTTTTGTTTTATCGGTTTTTGCTCCTCCATGCACTGTGTTAAGGAGACAAAACTGTTTAGAGCCGTGCCAGACAAGGTCTTAATTAAAAGAATGATGTCACTCGTATTTTAAAACATAGTATATTTCAGCGCGTCAATCCCTCAACTGGAATTTCCGATCAAAATTTCCATGTCTTTATGAAATTTTGGTTAAAAAAGGATGAATGAAATGGAACCTAAAATCGAAAAATGCTGAAAATCAGCGCAACTCGGCCAAAATTCTAAACCTGGGCCATGACGGCACGCTGACACACCACGTGCCTATGATGAATCTTCGAGTGAAGCCATGAGGCATTTTGTTGGGCTGAACCCAAATGCCCTGTATCACTCCCAGAATAAATAAGTTTTATAATTTTTTAGACAGACTAACGATGTTAGCAAAAGACGCATGTATCCTCGACTTATTTTCTTTCCCGAAGGATATCTCTTGGATTTGACAGTTATCATGTGCATGAACCCATGATTAGCTTCCAGATTGAGAGGCAACGTTCCATTTTTGTGCATAACGTTATTTATTTTGAAACATATTTTAAATCTTAGAAAGTTGTTTATTTTAAGATGGAGGGAGCACGTGGCTCCATGCAAACATGGGACCAAACTTGAGCTTATTGCCGCCAAAATATAATCTCTTAAATCTATATCTAATTATTATCCACATACTATTATTATATAATCTAAGTAAACTCTTATATTGTATTTAAATTACCACTTCGGGTATTATTTAAAAACTTAAGTATCCTCTCAGGTCTATATCTAAGTTATACTATGATATGCTTTACAAAAAAAATACATTAATATCAATGGCATATTGTTGAGGTTAGCATTCTACACCATCCTAAATCTTACTTCAAGCTCTACCACCAATTTTAGTATACTTAAGACTGCATTCTAAAATTTTTATTTTTAATAAAAATACAAAAGGGGAGTTAATTAAAGATATAATAAGCATTCAATTTAACTTGGCGATAAAAATTTATAGCAACTAATCAGATCAAAGTTTGAAAATTTAAATATAGATTCATAATGTCATGAGACATAGGCTTCAACAAAAATCACCATAAATTACACTAAGGTTTCAACTAAATGCTTATTGAAGATATGTGGAGGTGCCATTGCATAGGGGGAAAACCTTGGATGTGGTCTTATGGGAGAAAAAAACATTTAAAACAATAATTAACAAATTTATCATAATTGTATAGATATTTCATAATATTTATATGCAACTTGTGTTAGAAAGTAAAAAAAACATGCAAATTAATATAAGTAATTTTTGTTACTTCTAAGTATTAAACATGAACATCTCATGCTTATGTCTTTTAAAAATTTTGCCCTTGTGGAAGCAGGGTTGGATGGACTATTCAATGAAACGCCTAGCGCGCTCATCAGAAACGTGTCGTTTGTATGGTTAAACTCTTCTTCTTAATTACAATGATACGTAAATCTTTTGTCTATTCGAGAAAAAAAAAAAAAAAAAGACTCTGAATAGTTGGGACAATTGCTCCCAAGAGAGCTGGCCGGATCGGAACAAGCAATAGAGGATGTACATAGCGACGTGCTATCATCAGTACCTGACCCATTTGCGCCCTTGGCCACCAACCTCAGGGAGCACAAAATCTTTGTTGAACAATGCAATGCAAAGCTAGCACCGCCGGTTTTTTCATGCTCGCGCCAACCGCCAGCAATGAAGCACAGGCGAACCCATAGTTTTTCATGTCTTTTCTTGGTCGAATAAAATCGCATTTTCCCCAACCATTTCATTATTTTAACATCGTTGATGCAGAAACGGATGTTATAGGCAGCGTGCTTCCTGGCCGCTGACTTGTAGTACTATCATCAGCCATCACACCATGGGTGTGCGTGTGCTCTGAAACACGGTTTCCACTGCCGCAGCGCGTTGGCGGCAATTAATGCGAGGTCAAGTCATAAACTAGAAAACTAATCACATGTGGTGCGGGCTAACAACTCCCAGACAGAGTTTGCCATCACTAGCTGGAGTCCAAGTGCTGCTACAAGTATCACTTTACACCCAGTCAGGCACCCACCACCCACCCGGGCAAGCAATTGCTAAGCTCTCCAGTGTCTCTTGCATTGCCGCCCCGCACATCAATCACCCTAGGCGGCACTTCGTTCAATTCGGAGGCTTGGAGCGCAATCCGCGCGCCGATCAGGAGAACCGGCGATGAAGGTGAATGCCGAATCATCACTTTCCTCTAATCCTCTTCCTGAAATGCATGTCTCCATCGCCATCGTCTTTCCTCTTTTACTACAGTAGTACTGAACTGGGCATACATGCATGCTCTCCGTCCTTGCCGCAGCAAAAGATCGTGATCAGGGTGCAGATGGAGTGCGACCGGTGCCGGTCCAAGGCGCTGGCGCTGGTGGCGGCCACGGGCGGGGTGGACTCCGTGTCGCTCGCGGGCGACGGCAGGGACCAGGTCGTCGTCGTGGGCGACGACGTCGACTCCGTCAAGCTCACCAACGCACTGCGCAGGAAGGTCGGACCTGCAGAGATCGTGCAGGTCGCCGAAGCCAAGAAGGAGGGGGGCGGCGGCAACAATCCTCCGGCCGCCACCGCCACCGCGCTGCCCGAGTTCGTCGCGTCGAGCCCGTGGTACTACCAGCAGTACCCGCAGCCGGCGGCCGTCGTGTACGAACATCCCGCGGAGGGGTACGCGTGCGCGTACGGGTACCAGACGCGGACTGACAGCATCTGCTCCATAATGTAGTGTAGAGAGCCGGGTTCTTCCATGGAGGGATTGACTTCACTTGATTCTGTCTTTGGGCTTTTGTTTGTTGATCCGTGATAGGTGATAGGTAGTCTTTGAGCCTGTTTAGTTACCAAAATTTTGCAAAATTTTTCAAGATTCCTTGTCACATTAAATTTTTAGACGTATGCACGAAGCATTAAATATAAATAAAAAATAAAACTAATTACACAGTTTAGACGAAATTACGAGACGAATCTTTTAAGTCTAATTAGATTATGATTGGACACTAATTACCAAATAACAACGAAAGTGCTATAGTGCCATTTCTCAAAAAAAATCGCCAACTAAACCCGGCCTTTCCCGCACAATCTTTGTATCTGTACTAGTGAAGGCCGCGCGCCTGTAAGTGCATAAATTCAGGTTTATAAAGGTAGGGCTCATTTGCATACATATCTGCCGGAATATAATGGATGAGGGGGAAGGAGGGGGGCACCGCAAAATCAATTGGGTCTATGCTATTTAGCTCTGCAACATGTTTGTGTTGTAGCGGAGTAACTTGTATCTGCCTAGGTGGCTGTTCCTCAGATGGTGGAGGTCGTTCTATGTAAACGGGCTGATCTTTGAACCTGTTTCATGAGCTCATTAAATTTCCATGAGCATGGATCATATAGTCTGAAGCTGGTATTTTTAGACTGAGGTAACAGAGATATAATAATGTGCATATTAATTTTATGAGTTCTTAGCATAGTGCTGCATAGGTCTGAGTAAAATGGTTGGGCCTCTTCAATTTTGGGATTCAAATAGTAAGAAAAGGCGGTGCCACCACTGACATAGAGTGTATCTGTAATTTACCGAGAATGACATTGGTCCATGAATAAAGGGCGTAGAGAGCTCCCGCTCTGTGCGGGGTCTGGAGAAGGGTGTTAGTGGCAAGCTTTACCCTCGCCTGTGCAATACGATGAGAGTATAGTTTTCTTTTATATCTATAACTAAGGAAAATGTAATGTAAAATATTCTCAAGAAATAAGATCTTACTGAATATTTTTGTAAGCATTTGTCATTGTAGTGCCTCTTCGAGGCATAGGATCACATTTGTAGCACGTACCGTGGACGAGGCAGCAGCGATAAGCCCGGCAAGAACAACAAAGTAGGTCTATAACGACATAATATCATCGGCAATCCTCCGAGCGGATCCTCACGAAGGTAGATTGATCAGCAAATATGCATGTAATCGAGAACAAGAAGGCAACAGGGACACAAGAGCTAGATAGGTTCGGCCCATCGGCGTGACATAATACCCTACTCATGTGGTCTGTTGAATTGTATTGGCTATCGTATAATATTGCGTGTGTTTGGAGGGGGTCCCTGCCCGCCTTATATAGTCCGAGGGACAGGGTTACAAGCCGATTAGATCTAGGAGATAACCGGAAAGTAATAACAGATTACAGGAATCATGGGATCATACGTATCCTAACAGATATCGTAGTATTTTCAGGATATCTTCCCGGTGTCTTGCGGGACGCGCCGAGCAGCGCCGTGCCCCGCAAGGCTTCGTCTTGTGGGCTGGGCCGCCCCTAGGGGCGCAGCCCATGTGGTCTGCCGTAGGTATCCGGGGTCATACCCCCCACAGCTAGTCCCCGAGCGCTTTGTATCCATTGTGCAACGCCGTCTTGAGCTTGTCCAAGTAGGTGCGAACAAAGCCGAGCAGTCAAATTCATGGTCCGACCACCGTGATGAGTTGTCGAGCAGTTGTGAACCGTCGCCGAGCAATGTGAATCGTCGCCGAGCAGCTATGAACCATCACCGAGCAGTGTATCCAAAGTAAGGCTTGCCATAAAGATGTAAGGAGCTCAAGTTCAAAATCAAAAAAAATTTCCACAGTGGACTAAGTGTGCCCACTTAGAGTCCGACCACGAGAAAGGGAGATAGTCTTCTTCACTTCAGGAGGCGCGGAGTCTTCCAGATTAAAGCAAACACACTCACCGCTAGGTGAAGTGTGTCCACTTAGTCCCCGAGCCTGACAGTAGGTGACGTAGTCACGTGGTGTTAGGGGCCAAAGTACAAGAAAAGCAGAAGACCAGCCGAGCAGGCAGCCAGTCCCCGGGCGTAGCCCCGAGATGAGAAAAGCACATTCACCGTAAGGTGAAGTGTGCCCACTTAGTCCCCGAGCCTGACAGTAGGTGACGTTGTCACGTGGTGCCAGGGTCAGAAACAACAGTCAACAGAAGAAAGTCCCCAGTGCGGTGAGGAACCAAGTCGCATTGCTGACGCAGTCCCTGAGCCACAAGTGGAAATATTGGAGAAAACAAATCATGGAGAAAAAACAGAGTAATGGTTGTACAGTAGTTATTACTGAGCCGTAACAGATGGCGGAGGAGTCGGCGAATATTCGGTGAGCAGTAACAAATTGAGGCGATAAATGGGCGATACCGTGATGAGGACATCACTCCTTCGGATGTACCCACTGATCCTCCAACCGTTATGCAAGGTCCAATGACCTGAGCTCGAATGCGTCAACTCAATTTAGAGGTGAGCTCGTTCTTAAGCGATCCTTTTCAAACTTTTGAGAATAGACTACTACCTAATGATGTTATCTTGCTTAGGAACATAGGAGAGGGTCATGAGGAGCTTGGAGAAAGGTATAGAGGTGGAGAAGACCAGCAAGGACGACCAACACAAGCTGGCGGCCCAGTCCAACTGAAGTTGGAGCCCATCTCGGGTTCCAGGATCAGTCTGTCATAAAACTGGTCACACGGGCGCGTCCGGGCTCCGTTTTCGACGATCCACATATGGATGGAAAGCTAATTAGATAAGGAAGCCAATGCAAGTGGTCTCACATCAAAAGCCCTTCGAAATCAATGGGAATTGTCAAAACAAGTCAGTGTCCAGAATCTACCAGGGTGATACGACACCGTCTTTTGGTCTGTTGGACCGTGTATCGTGTTTGGGCCCATTAGAGGCGCGTCCAGGGGTTTTTGCACAACCCTAGAGTCTTCATAAATAGACACCACCCCTCCATTAGGGTTTGGGTTTTGCTTAGATTAATCTGTCAAGAATAGTTTCGTCGTTCATTGGTTTGTGAGACAGGGGTTAGCCTTCTTGGTTGCAATTTGGTTGTGTTTCTTTCTTGTTCTGGATTGTGTTCTTCGTTGTGCAGGCAGGGGTTAGCCTTCTTGGCAAGGTCAACTAGATCCGTGTCTCGGCTGATAACCAGAGGAGTTGTGGTGCTAAGATTGCAGGGTTTGATCTTTCGATCTGAAACTGGATTGGTGTGTCATTCTCCGCCACAACGATAGTTATCTCTACCTGACGGAAGATTGGGATCCCTGTCCCCATTATACTGTTTGCAGTTGTGCGAAAGCCCAGGTAATGGCCCACCACGCTGTTTTAGAGAATTCGGAGAGGCGCAAATCGTGGAGCGGTTTCCCAAAAACCCTCGAATGCGAAAGGTCGGGGAGTGCTTTATAACTGCGTCGCCGCACTCCGCGCTCCCACCTTTGCCACTTCGCCCCTTTGTCTTCCTCCTCAGCCCTCACGCTTCTAGATTCATATTCACATGAGCTTCTGCCACCAATCCCAAACCAGATCTGAGACATGGTGCCAAAGAGGGAGCCGGAAACCCGAAGAAGGCGACCGCCAGAGCCAGCCGTGACAATGAATGGGTGTCGTCGAACATGGGGGAGGCGGAGATCAACAGGATGGTGGAGGCGAGCGTTCTTTCTGACCTTGTCACCGCCGATGGCGGCCAGCCAGTCGTGAGCCCTTCCTGATGCCACATAATGACAAAGTAGTAGTTTTTGAAGATTATTTCTGGCGCGGGTTAGGATTTCCCGTTTATCCTTTCTTGACGGATCTTCTGGAGTTCTAGAAAGTTAGTCTATGCAACCTCCACCCAAACACCATCTTGCACATCTCTATCTTTATCCATTTCTGTGAGGCATATCTCGGAGTTCTTCCCCACTTCAACCTCTTCCGTCATCTGTTCTGGCTGAAGAAGAAGGGTGGTGGCGATTCCAAGGTGGTCAGCGGCGTTTATCTTCAACTCCACAACGGAATGGTGGGCGAGTACATCACTGTACCGCTGAACACCTCGCTGAAGGGGTGGAACGCCATGTAGTTCTACATGAAGCAGAGCCATCCCGCCATCCGTTGTGACATCGACCATGTTCTAGAGAACCAGAGGAGCTGGTCGAAGAGGCCAAGCAGTGATGACATGGAGCAGGTGAGGGAGCTCCTCGACCTAATAAAGGGCATGAAGATGAACGGCGGGTTGGTGGCGGCGAGCTTCATAGTATGCCGCGTCCAGCCCTGCAAGGAGATGGCCCACGTGGGCTTTGACTTTAAGGGGGGTACCGACGGCACTTGGGAGAGGTCGGAGAGGCTATCAAAGGACGATGCGCTAGAGCGGGCTGTAGGGCTTTTCGCTCCAAATGCCTCGTTCAGCGTGTTAGGGCAGACGAGAGCCTTTAACTGCATGAACCCACCTCCTCAGATAAAAGTCTCAGTTGTTTCTTCCTGATCCTTTTTATCCTGTAGCGTTGTCGAGCAGTGAACTGATTCACTTGTGGAAAGATCCATTCGTAGGAACGAGCGACGTACTTCTCGGGCGTGCCGAGGAGCGATTGGCCGAAGGCAGTGGACGCCTGGCCAACAACTCAGCATGAGGAAGGTGCCATCAGCGCCTCGTCGGAGTCCGGAGGCGCGGACACTGGTCGAACGGAGAGTCCCTCCCCGGTTTTGGAGAAAGTCCGAGGGAAGAGGGCAGCGGCAGATGAGCCGACCCGGAAGAAGAGGAAGACAGCGGGTGCTGCTCCCCACAAGCCGGGTGGCATCTGGCTTGGCGGTGACCAAACCACTCAGGAACAGAGTGCAGCGATGTCCGAGTGGTCGGATGACGATGGGGCTCCAATAGCTCCCCCACGGAGCACTGAAGTGCCTCAGCGCAACACGCGCGGGGAGGTACAATCGAAGAGAGGGGAGGAAGTCCCTGAGCAGCAGGCGAAGGGAGTCCCCGAGCA